ACATAAACATGGTCCCTTGGTCACCGCATTGAGGAGTCCTGAATAATAACCCACCAGATGATGCCTACCTCCATGCTCCTGCGCCAGCACAGCAGCTCACCATCCATTTCTTTCGCTTACATACAGATGATCTGTCTGAGAAGGAATTCACCCTGGCTTTATTATGTAGTTGGTTTTATACCCTTTTTTCCATCCGAAGATCTAATAGTTGGAGTAGCCTGGCCTTATGGATTCCCTCATTAGGTAAAACAATCACAATATCACATACTGTAGCTCTATTGAGGTAGTGCATTTAAATGCTATTTCATACAGAAATTCCTTATAAATGCTGCAGGGCATCCTAGCCCAATAGGTCTGGGGTGTCCCTCACCCACATCAGTAGTTGAAACTGTACATCTTTTCCCAAGCATACTGTGACAGCTTGTATCTGCTTTAAACACAACCTTTGCCCCCCTACTCCTGTAGCCTCCTGTTACCCGTTAGAAAACTATATATCACATCTTTATGGTGTTTTAGTAAAAAAAACAGGAAAAAACTGTGCTCCTGTGTCCCCCAGTTACTGCACACTGTAAGATTATTTAACTTTTATTTAAATCCTGAGATAAATTTAGGAAGGCTACAAAGGGGCTTACTAGATTAAATCTATTATTTCACGTTACAGCTTCTGACATGTTCTTTAAATGTGAAATCAAGCCTCTTTCTTACAATTTCTCAAAAAAAACGCAATTTTTTTAGTAACTGCGCACCACCTTATTCGTAGTTTTATCTTTGGGGTTTCATCCTCCTTTTCCTCCATCTGGATATTATCCCAGTCCTCATTATTTTCTTGAAGGGGTCTTATATCTTGGTATAATATTAAAGTCGCACAATAATTGCGACAAACTGGCGGCTCCTTTTTCTCCTCCTTGGGAGTCTTTTTACCTCCTATTTGCAGCGCTCGCACTTCTGCATGCATGCTTCGCAAGTTATTAAATCAAATCTGTCTCCGCTATCCGTAATATCAGGAAAGCATAGTTGTACATTCTTGACAACATCAGGTTTTAAATAGTTTTTGTTTTATTACTGTGTAAATATCTTCATTCACTTCCTTTTCATCGGCTAACCCTGAGTATACTATCCATAAAGCTATAAACCTTTCTGTTAAATCTGAAACATCTTCACTTCTTCCTGCTGACATGCTGCTAATTTTCTCCAATCAGTTTTTGGTGGGTAATGCTCTTTCAAAAATCTCCACAGTAATTCCCACCCTTCTCCCAGATTCTTTCTTAAGGCGTTCTATTTCTCTTTTTGCCTTTTCTTTTTCTGCATATATAACTTCTTTTCATCCAGCCATCGCTTTAAGCTTTTCCGTCAGGGATCTTTGCGTCTCATCCCATTCCGTTTTCTCTATGATATTCTGTTGAATTCTTAACTATTCCTCTAAAATAAAACCCTTATTTTTATACCAATGTTCATACAGTACACTTTTCTACATTCCTGTTCAGACTAAATTCCATATTTCTATTTAAGTTTCACTTTGCATTAATCTAATTTCTTTTTTCATTCCTTTTCTGACACTCAGTCAGACATCTCTCAGAGTAAAAAAGGCTTTGGCTTCGGACCGCTTTCTAATTTCGGTGGAGATTTTTTCTTTTTAGTACGCATGGCCATGACTTTAGCTGCAGCTTGCTGTTCTTTAGTTTCAAGACTAGCCTTTTTCTAAGCTTCCGATCATTTCTGTGATTCCTCTTTCCATGACATTAGTTTTCCAATTCACTTTCTTTCCATTCTTCTCCTTCTCTTCTTTCCCCTGTCCATTCTGAGCACTTACAAAGATCCCTCATAGTTATGGGCCCTTATTATCAAATATAAATCATGTGCAAGTTCCCTTACACCTATTACCCTAGCTTCACAGTTCATGAACATAAAAATATTTTCTTCTGCTGGGACTCTAACCCAGACTATAATCTTTTATTTTCCTTCTTGCCGGGACTCTAACCCACCTACTCCTGCTTCTCTGCAGTTATCGTACATGTACTTGGCTGGGCCACTCAGCCCAGCTTTGCCTTTAGAGCTCTCATTACCCATTGTCGACAATGTCTTACTGTTTCTAGAACACTATCACATTAACTACTCCGCAGAGCAAAAACCACACGTCTGTGTTAAGATATGTTCGTTTCACGAGTCCCAGACTCGCCAGGTCCCAGACCTGTTAAAAGTCCCTGACTTATCGAAGAGAACACCCTTGTGGCTCGCTTTTCAAACTATTAGTTCTTTTAAGGATCACTTACTGATGTCAGACAGCTGCCAATTCTCCAGACGCGTCTCTGTATGGATAAACAGATAATCCCCCGAGGTTCATCCAATTCACTAAAATTGTCCGGTCCTGGATGGAGTCTCGGCAGCCGTCCGCGTTCAGGTTCGTCATCCCATCCTTGTCGCCAAAGATTGTCGTGGAATTTTATCAAAGAAGAGCCAGGAGAGGTATTCTCATTCACTCAGTAAGGTCTTTATTCAAAATGCAATATGGGAAAAAGCCATCACTCGTCTATACAGAGAAGTGAAAGCTGATTCAAAAGCAAGCAGGGAGAGCTCTTGTTTTATATCTTTTTTAAGCTGATGCAATACTTTAAGTACAGACAAAGCAGTAATTTTCCATTCCTTATAGGTTTCTGCTTTAAGCAAAGAAAAGTAGTTATTCAAATAGTTTCTCATACTCCCTTCTTCAAGCAGCAGAGATAAACATTATTAAAACATCCCATGCCCTTGACAAGTTGGGTGCTATCACACTTTGTTCTAAGTATCCAGCTGCTTCTGCAGCACAGCTCTGTCCGTAAACAACATTTTTAGGATAAAACACCTTTTCTCAGTAACTTTCCATTACAAATGAAACAAGTAACAAAGGACTGTATATATACATAAAACTGTATATAGCAAAACAGTTTTAGAAACATTGTAACTACAAATTAACACAAAGCATAGTTTGGGCCAAACTTACATAAGAATATATACAACAGAACTGTGACATGTCACTAGAAAACATATTATGGGTGGCTATCTTTTATTTGTGGTTATACAATGTAGAGTATATATGCTGTATATATTTATCTATCTGCTCTTACAATTAACTAGTTATGATGAAGCAGTGTAGGAAAAACATAACATCAAGAACATTTTAAAAAATCCAAAATATATGGGGTATTGTTTTTCTTATTTCAACTTACATCGTTCTGAAAAATTGAAAAAAAAAACAAACATTTAGAAGTCAAGATTTATAAGCAATCCTAGGAACAAGATCATGAACCAAAATAGTTCAACTGTCAATGAATATGTATGATAAATTAACAACATACATTAAAAGTGTTGTAATATGAATTACAATATGAAACAAGTCAACTAAAAAATTAGTTAAATTAAAATGTATTTTAACAATGGTGATAAAATACTTGGAATTATGCTAGCAGTAAATAAAATGAGCAGCTCCTGAAATAGTGTTGTAATTTCAGGGTTGTCTAAAGTATTTAATATGATTTAAGTTCTAAATGTTTTTAACTAGTTTGCTTTTGGGACAGAATGGAGTTCAGAAGTAAATTTGATATTTTCTGTTCCATGCTGTATGGATATATATAACTTACTGTTACATAAACATAAGGGGCCATTTTTAGTTTCACAGTATTATCTTGTATCTTTCCATAGTACTGTATTTAATTTATAGACACACGAAAAAGGGTCCACAGACGAAATATAGTTTGTTTTCTTCTCTTTTCGGCATGAAATAAACCTTTACTTGTTAATTTATAATTTATAGATGTGTTTTCTTTGTATTTCTTGCTTTGCAGAGTCTATCCCAGATGTGTTCTGCTGTTTAAGTCCCACCTACAGTATTTAGAACACGCATTTTCAATCAAAAGTATAGTTTAAAAAGCTTACAGGATTAACTCCAGTACTACATTGCACAATTCTCAACTGAAATGTTTTATTACAACAGCCACCAATCTGATAAAATAACCTTTATTAAATTGACACTTTCAAACACAGGACTTCAGAATAAGAGTTATTTTGTACATCAATAGTGTGAAGACTGACAACTTCATGACTTCATTGAACTTCTGTACATCCAAACTCACTATGATGTTAACTTTGTTCATGTTATGAAGAAGTTGCACTTGTTTTCATGGAGAATTAGATAAATCAGGTTTTCAGCCTAGATTTATCTAGGCTGTAAGTAGTTACCAAACTGACACCACAATGGAAGTAGATATGTGCCAAAGATAAAACATTGTAGAGCGCTTTAAAAGTATATTAAAACCCAAATAAAAATGTCAAATAATTGAGACTTCATAAAATATAAGTATCTTCAGTGAAGAAGACATTGAAATTGTAAATAAAAAACACAGTAAAGACATGACCTCATTTTCACATCAGGACATTGGCTCAATTATGAAGTAAATTCCCACTAAGATTGTAACAATAATCTATAAACAGGAAGTCATTTTAGACTATTCTTATATTTGTACAGCCAAGTGCTTTGGAGAGAAAGAACAAATTCTACAGTTTTCATTTGTTCATTCGAAACCTAAAAATGCAGGACAGAAAATTTACATAACAAAAAGTTTCTCATGCATCAAAAAACTTAATTATTTTATTATTTATTTATTAAGAAAGAGTGAAATGTAAATATCAGTATAGCAGTTATAAAATAAACATTTTAATATCAGCTATTAATATATTTAGAATCCTCAGATTCCAACTACAAAACTCATTCAAATTTCTACTTGAAAGTATTAATTAGAATCATAAAAATGAAATTAGCCAGCAATCTCAGTTGGTTCTGTGATCAGCTTTGATCCATCCCAGATTGTTTTGAACTGCTCAGGAACAGGAAATTCTCTCTGCAAAAGAGACAAAGTACCATTTATTAAAGGTAATACATAGTCAGCCCATCCTGTAATGATTACTTATCTTAAAAACTTAAATAAAAAATATAAGCACAGAAAACCAAACAAATCCTTATTTCTTACAAGTTTCATTATCTGTATCAATAGTGTTGCAAGTCTAGTCATGTGAACCAGAAAACAAAATGAAATAAAAGATAAACAAAATACAAATGTTTTATGTTTTTAATGTTTAACTTCTTAGATCTTCCTGTAAGGTCAGTGGCCATCTAGAATCCTCAGGGAAGGAGATGTTATATAGACGTTTATTTTTCAGATAATCTGAGGCAGGTTTGCATTACTCTGGAAAAAGTTGTGGCTGGTGGCACACTGAATCCGTAAAAGTACCACAGCTGTGTGTGGCTGTCACACAAATCATTACAGTATTAAATGTTTATTAACCCATTAGTGCTTTCTTGTGCTAATTAAACTGTATGTATACTGATAACAACCCGGTTATTGATGTCATAAACAGAGCTGTTGGACTCCCTCCTCTGGCCGTTTTCCAC